TGGTGGTACAAACCATTTCCAGTCATAAATCAAGAACAGCAACTACAAAGCATTCTGTCTTGTCTTCTGGATTGGACACCTGAGATACCAGGGTCTTGGGAGGTGCTCTGGTGTAAGAAGTCATCCACCCAAAAGAGGAAAGCTCATGAATTTTACATAGAAACCAGGAAAGTGTCCAGAATATGAGTTCCTCCATTCTAGCAAGAAAAACAGTTAAGCAGGTGCAGTAGGAAGTAAAAGATGAAGATTTGATTCAGTTATGCATAGCACAGGTGAGGAGCAAGACAGTATCCAGGTAGAAGCAGATGATAGAAAAGAAACACGCGGCACCTGCAACTCATATAATAGGCACATATTGAGGGTTAGCATCCACAGGAGGTGGTCTCTGTTTGGAATAAATAAAAAAATGTTAGAGCAGCACAGACTGTCGTCATAAGCCAATGACAAGAAGACGGGAGTCAAAGGGAGTTGGAAGAAAAACCAGTTTAGCAAGTCTGGTTTATCTCATCATTGCATTCCACTATTTCAAGTCCCCTACTCACTGCACGTGCTTATAGCTCAGCTGGTACAGTCACAGCACACCAGAGCTGCTAACATATTTGAAAGGTTGCAATCTAGTGCAAGGTTACACAAGGTCGGCTCAAGAGGCAGGGGAAGTTGGGTGGGTAAAGGTTCCACCTTTCAAATAAACAGAGGTTTTAGTTGGAATTGACCCTCACAGGAAAAACGAGCCCACGAGACTTGAGAAAGTACCTGGCATTTCTAGGCTTCCTGGGAAACCAGGGGCTGAAAGGCATTTGGGACAATGCCCATCTCTCTCCATGTCAGAAGAGACAAGTTCTTTCACAGCCCCAGTCATCTATGATTATTCACTTTTAATGAGTCCTTCCAGATCTCTCGCTTCCTTACACTTCCTTGCTTCTGACCTTATGGTACAGACCTCTGGTTACCAGGGTTTCCTCTAATGACACCCCTATGCTCTTTCTGCAGACACTTTTCCCCGCTGCATTTCAACGGAATCCTTGCCATACCCTCTGTCTGATGTCTCACCGTTTCCGCTTGCAGAAGTCCCCGCTGGTTTATGTGCCTGCCCCTGAGCTTGGGCTGCCTAGGCTAGAAGATTAAGGTCCTCATTAACAAGGACCAAATCTCTGGGTCTGAGCATTAACCTAGTTGAATGCTGCGTGTTCAGGACCTGAGCGGCAGTTCTCATCCTGGCTCTTCCCCAGACCTGCTGTGTGACTCTGGGCAAGCCATTTCTCCCATCTGGCTTTCTTGGTTTCCCCATCTGTAGAAAAGGGCAAGGCTCATTATCCCTCCCTATATAAAACATCCTGAGGTCCTCAGAAGACAAACTGTATTGAGAGCCAGGCCCTATTGTTATTAGAGCTCTGTAGTGCTAAACAGACACTGGCAAAATAAATCCAAGGGCAAAGAAAGCAGACAGAACAGCAGAGCACAAAAATTGAAGAAATAGGGGGAAAAAAATCTAGTGAAAACAAGAGTAAAGCACTAGGGCACTATTCCTGTAGTGTGAGTATGTATGGAAGGATAACACTGTTTAGAAGCAGTTCTACAAATCCAGTTGTCCACCTTCTCAGTCTTTGTGTTTTTAGAGGCCTGTAGTTTTGGTGAGTTTAATTTTCTCCTCCTACATAACTCTGCACATGGGAAAGACTTTTGGTATTGTTTGGCTTTGAATGTATTGACTGACTACAGCTGTACAGCTCAAGTAGGCAAGGAGATGCTCTATCACCTTTTGAGGTCAGCCAGAATTATCCTTCCTCCAGATGAGAAAAGCGACCAGTAGGAAATGAAAAGCACAAGAAAGCTTCAATGCAAACCTGTAAAACAGTTAAGTGAACTTAACCAATATTTATATAACTCTACATGTAGTGCTTTAAAAAGGAAGATTAGCACAGAATTATAGCATCATCAAGAGATAAATGTGGCTCTGGAATCAACATAGTTACTCTACAATGCTACGGGGCAAGAGGCAAACTGCGATCCATCTGTCAGTGTGTCCTCTGCTGTCACGGGATCCTTCCTGCAGAGACTACCATGTTCTGCTTCTTTCCATTATGGATGAGGCTAGAGTGTCCCTGTGATTTTTCTGTACAAGGAGTTACAGTGCCCCTCTAACCAGTTTTCATTATATGTTCTAGGCAAAGAGCAGCTTGTATCGTGGGATTAATACAAAAGAAGACAAAAATTCAAATTCTGTCTTTGCAATTCCTAAGAAACCAGTCAACTTTGCTTTCAACAGAGCAGCCAAAGCTGAGAGTGTATGAATTGGCTTTTGAATGTTTGGAGTGAGGGAGCTATGAGATTGGCTGTGCCTGCAAAGAATGGGTTATGGTATGAAGGCAGGGTCATACATTGCCTTTGGTGTATTTCTTTTCCCCTTGTTGTTTGAGTTTTCGGTACCATCTCTTCCTAAAACTGTGTGCAGCCTTGTTTCTCAGTTAAAAAGGATTTTCTTTATTATTTTTTAAAGCCTATGTGATGAGTGATATGAACTGCCAGTGAATACTACATTTCACTCCCCCTCATTAACATTGTAAATTAATTTAGGACTCATTTAGATGCAGGATTAACAACCTGAGGACTAATCCACTCTTTATTCAGAGGACATATTCAGGATGAGCAGTCCTTCGCCTCACATCACTCAATTAGTTAGCAGGACCATCTCTTGGGAATAAAATGATATTTCTGTCTCTCTGCTTGCAAAGGAACTGCTCAAGGTCAAGGGAGAGGTTTGGGAGACAGCAGCCCTGGTCCCAGCTCTACAACAGGCTTCCTCTGCAACCTTGGTCAAATGTTTTTATACTCTGCATCCATTTTTCCCAATTTGCACATCTAGAGAAGTCAGACTTAGAGAACAGACAAAAGATTAAAAGTAGTGTTGATGGTGGTTTAGGTCCACATGTTTTATTTCACCAGGGTTAAGGGTACATGGGCCACGGGCCAGCTGCCAACACAGAAACTTGTTAAGCTGAAGTAATACATTTAATAAGTTTCCAGTTATGTGCCCCTACCCTTACTTACATGAAATGATGTTTTATTTTGTGAGAACCCTTTTCCTGTAATGACACTGTGATTAATACATTATTATCTATATTGCAGGGGCAAAGTCAAGCCCTCAGTTTTCATATCAGCAAAGAAACCAAGAGAAAAATGTTGCCTTTCTTAAAGCAACAGTTATCAGTACAAAACTCACGACACTCAGCTGCAATCTTGCTGTATCTCAGTGACACTGTTTTCAGATGCCCTGTATTTTTGCTAGAGAAATAAATAACATTTCTTGCAATTAACAAATGAAATACCCTGGTGGAGCTTAGCTCTTACTTGCTGTCAGTAAATCATCTGCAGAAGGATTTCATTCACTGAGGGGAATAAAGATTAAACACATGCTTTGGCAAGTGTCATTTTCAACCAGAATATTTTCTTGAAGGCACTTTGTGTGTAATGATACATTGAGGACCTGTTCCTCTGAGTACAATAAATAAATACAAATAATTGCTGTAGAAAAAAGCTTGATGGACAACCAGTGTCACTTTGGGCATAACTGATTGATGCTACCTATAATCAGTAACACTTGTAAAGCTCAGGCCTTCTGTTCTGGACATGTGCTGCACACATCAGTTTAGCTGAACTCTGCCATCACACAAAGAGAGCATTTTTAAAGCCCTAATACACACTGCTATTAATTGTGTGTATTGCAACATTACCAAGAAGCTGTAACCACAGATGAGGACCCTGCTGTGCCATGGGTTCAAAAAGAGGAGGAGATACTGCAGGGGTTCACATGGTTTGAAATCTAAGGCCAAATGACAGAGCTCCAGAACATTCTTACCTCTAGTTCATAATAAAGAATAATTTATTTTATACACTTTATTGTTGGCTACAGTTTCATGGACAAGCTCCTGACAGGCATTTGCTATCCACTGTGGTAGCATAAGAAAAACAGCATGGAAAAAAATGTCTTTCTGGCACGCTATTTCTAATCCTAATTGAATTCTAATTTATTTTCAGAGATATAATTGTTGCAGCGTGGTCCCCTCAGACAGATGATACTGACAAGACAACCACAGCACCACAAATCTGTGACTCCAACTAATAATTCTGTAGGAAGTTTCCAAACCGGACTGTTTCTCTCCTTAAAATACTGCTTTTGGTCTCTGGCTAGTCCTTTCAACTATCCACAAAGATCAAATGTGCTGTCATAACTACATGAGACTGCTTCTCAATGTCATCAAATCCAGCTTGTTGTCAAAGGCACTCCTCTAAATCACCTCAAGACTAGAGGCCAGAAAAGCTGGCTTTGTCCTGGGGTTGTACAGTGCTGTCTGCAGATGACTGCAACATTAAAATGTCTGCTACATTAAAAGGATGTCTCAATTGCAATAATCCTTCTTCCTTAAACACAAGGAGAGAAAGGTCTGAAGCTAACAGTACCAAAATCATAGGGATATTGTTAATCCATGAGTTACCATGAATGCAGTGATTGTTAGCCTTTCCTGCCGTTTTCATCCTCAGGTGCTTTTCCTGATAAGTTTTACATTTTCATGCCACACTGTACTCACAATTACTGTACATTCAGCAGATTCTCTGCAGAGCACATCAAGGGTGTCATAGATCACACTTATTACCAACCTACAGAGAGTTAAGATAAGTGAGAACAACAGGATCTTGGTGGTGGTTTATCATGAGTTTTCTGATGCAGGGGAAGTAGCCATCTCCGATTTGAATTTAGTTGCCATAAATAACATCATTAAGTTTGTTTGGTTTTGGCCCATTCTACACTCAAGTCATTCTAAGTCCTGATCTCCTGCCCACCAGCAAATCAAAACCAAAAATAACCCTCACATTCACTCATCTTCCTAGTAAGAGTATATTTCACGGCCAGCGTGCCCAAGGGCCATAACTGAAGAAACCCGAAAGCAGCCTTCTGAGAAGAGGAAGGTTACAAAAACCAGAGAGAAAACAAATACTCTTACCTGTCTGTAATAAGCCAGCCCCACTGTCTTTGACTCCAAAGTGCTGCTGGATGTCTAGTAACACACCTGCAAGGAAATCAGAGAGAAGAAACTCAGTGCCTTCAGCCTTCAAAAAGCATACAACTCAAACCTTTTGTGAAGCATCGGTAAAGTTTCAAATTCCAGCAATTTAGACACATAACTTCTAAAGTTTGCACACTGTCTTCTTTTCTATACGTGCACACTCAATAATTTTGGGCTACTACCATAACAGCAGAGGTAGGTAGATATAACATCATGCAAAGAGTTTGGGAATTAAATCCTCATGCATGAGAAACTGGTCTTCCCTTTCCACTTAAGATAAGGGTTTTCTTTTTATTTGTTTTCTGCAGAATCCAGATCCCTTACTTCTGTTATTTTACAGAAATAGAGAGAAATTGATTCTGCGCCTTAGGTGATTCAAATGGTTTGACAAGACAGACAAATTGAATCCAAGACAAGTTTTAACAAATCTCTGTTGGGAGGAGATATGACACATTGATAGGAGCAATGATGGATGTTTTCACATTTAACTAGTTCTAAAGGTTTCTCATTTCCAAAACAAATTTAGAAAATAAATTTAAAATAGCTTAGTAAAGGTAGGTAAGTGACCAAATAAGTGACTGCTTTAAAGCAACTACAAGCAGAACCAAAACCAACCTTCTCTCATTTTGACCACCCAATATATTAATGGACATAAGCAAAATTAATGGGTTTTGTAATATTTACATATTCATCTAGATTTAACACTTAGGTATCAAACATACACTTAATGTCAGGTACATATGAACAGGCATGCTTTTGTAACCAACTAGACAACAGGGAAAATCCACAGAGAGCTTTTATGACTCATCTCGGGGGACCTAAGTTTGCTAAGCTGTAGATGGTCCAGTTGTGTCAGATACAGATCCATATGCCTACAAGTTTGTCTATAGTCTAAACAAACTGTAGGCCAACTTCTTGCGTCTGGAAAAGAGACAGTTACTCTCTTAATATCCAGGACTTCCTTATTTAGGCTACTGTATTCCCCAAAACTGAGGATATGCAAGTTTCTTTTTTTAAAAATGAGAAACATCATTCTCCAACTATACTGAACATCTATAAAAGTTCACCTCCAGTTCAAAATTTGATCCAAGGCTTTATCCGAAGTGATTCTGCTCATCACTGTAGGTCACGGGAATCAACTAAGCACCAAACTGAACACACTCACCATATATCTTAGCTTTTGGGACCGTCAGAATCCCACTAAATGACAAACACAAAGAGATAAAAGACCCAGAGATAAGTATTCCCAGAAGACATCTGGAACAATGCCAAGAAAACAGATATAAAATAAAGGTACTAGAGTAAAAAAAGATACAAAGAAGAAAGGAACAAGCAAGAAAGCTCATTGTCCTATTCCGTATTACTTGTACGAGACCATTTACTCAGGGCAGCATTCAGGTTGGCTTTTAGACTACCAATATCTGCCTAGTAACATTAGTTCAAACTCCCTTCTGTACTTTATCTGACTGTTTAGCCCCAAGCAGAGAAGGCTTGGGGTGGGGAAGGGTGTGAATCTTATCAATGTGTGTCAATACCTGATAGGAGAGAGGGTAAAGAAGATGGAGCCAGAAGACAAAGGGCACAAACTGAAATACAGGAAATTCCATTTAAACATAAGAAAAAACCCTTTTTACTGTGTGAGTGGTCAAACCCTGGAGCAGGTTGTCCAGAGAGGTTGTAGATTCCCCATTCCTGGAGATATTCAAAACCCAGAAGGACACAGTCCTGAACAACCTGCTCTAGTTGACCCTTTTAGCAGGAGGCTTGGACTGTGTGATCTCCAGAGGTCACTTCCAACTTCGATTATGCTGTGATTCTATAACTTTCTGAAGTATTAAGTGCCTGATTACATCCAGCCTAACACAGTTTTCCCGCGGCTTTTTTTTTCCTTTGAAGCATTCCTGTCTACTACGATTCCAACAGGAACTTCTTAGCTTTCTCTTGGATGGCAGATTTACCTCCTTTTTCAAAGTGCCCTGGCATTTCTTGACTGTCCTTCCCTCATTTGCTCCATTAGTAACTGAGATATCATTATCCAGGCAATACCTGATGAACAAAAATAAACTTTGCATTTCCCTAGCAAAACCCTCTGTGGCTTAGATGACTTACAACACTCCAGCTGGAGAAGCCAAGTCAGAGGGATCCAAGCTCTCCTTGCTTCTACAGATACATTCAGTGCAAGATTTTACCCAAGCAGGTATATCACTGGGTGGTCAAAGTGATGCCCATTCACCTCCTATTCCATGGGCAAATAGCTTCCTGGTGGATGCCATGTTCCTGTTCAGCCCATCCACTTGCAGCTTCTTTTATTTCAGTAACAAAAGACTAAGTTTTGCACCCACCTTTATTTCGGGATGGGGCTTCAAATCCCACTGACACAGTGATAGATTTACATTTTTAAAATTAAACTCACAGGCTACAAGTATATTACCTAAAAGCTGCAAAGAAAAACAAAGCGGTAAAATACTAAACCAGGGACACTGTAACTGCACTGCTCCCAGCAAAGACTCTAGTTAGGATGGCAGCTGATGAAAAATTTTATTCTGAAGCTGGTGCAGACAGACAAACCTCTGAGCTGACATGATCACCGAGCAGGATTCATATCATTAAAATTAGCAGGTGCACAAGGGTCAAGAGCAAGCCAATAACAGAATCTCACCTGTATAAAAATCAAAATGGCACAACCTACTGTCCTGCCACAGGATGCCAAAGGGACCGACTCAGTGATGGGAAAAGGGAGGTTAAGAGCTGTAGTCCTGTCTTATTAAAACTGAGGAGGTAGATCCTTGGATCAGGGGGGCTGGAGTAGATTATCTCCATAGGTCCCTTCCAGTCTCAACTACTGGGAGTCTGTGCTCCTAGCCCCACAATGGAATACACACATACATCCAGAGCCCCCTCCACAACCCTGAAAGGTGCCTGTCCTGCCTACAGGAACATATTCCCAGCCAGGCAAGAATGCCAAAGAGGCACATTAAACCACCAAAACTTACAGGGAGCAGGAGCCTGGCATGTGATGAAAAACAGACTCAAAAAGAAGATTTTTTTGGATTTGCATCAGAAACCAGATCAGTAAGTGCAAGGGATTATAATGGTGCCTACACAGTAAAGCAGAGAAGGTCTTCCAGTTCATTACAAAGAAATTATCTGCCCAGTGACAATGGCTTTACAGTTCTAGAGTGTTTTTTTTTCCACGAGAGATCATAATGTGTTTTACAAGCTTAAACTACTATGGCCATTAATGAAACACATTTAGGACACTGAAGTGCAGTCAGCTTGGATTAAGCCTACAACATTATTACGGTGATAGAGAGGGAAGTGGGTTCTGTGGATAGTCAGTGCAACAGGACAATACAGAACCACAATTCTAAGTCCTGTGTGAACTCGGAAGAAGGTCTCAGATGATTAAGAGAGATCTGCATGTCTAATTGACATGAATTTCCTACTCCAAGTCTATTTTATATTCTATTTGGACTGCAGGTGTTTTGATATGGGATTTAGAGTATTAAATTAGAGGCAGCAGCAAGTAGATGATGCAACACATCTATGAAGTGATAGGAGTTTCTCTCTGCTGTGGAGCTTTCCTGCTTAGCACACCCACATAGGAAAACACTCCTCCTCCTCTTAAATTTGCTCAGCTCTGTTTCCACCTCACCATGGCAATGACTCACCCCAAACTTTAATAAGATTTAGGGTACAATTAAGCAATGATAGACCAGGGGAGAGGATACAGTAAAATGATAGAGCTTTTGACTTTCCCTTCTGTTTCTAGATGATGGGAAGGCAGGGATAGCTGGAGCCAAGCTCCAGACAATGACCATGTTGCTTGTGGAGATGTGCTCCCAGGTGCCTCACAACACCTGATGCAATCCATGAAAGGGAAGCCGCCACATGTGGTTGACAAGGCCTTTCTTGGATTAAAGTTTATACCCATGTCTCAGGATGATCTCAAAATAGCCATGAGCAGCTAACAGGCACCACTCTTCCCGAGAGAGCCTCTCAGCAGGCCTGATGGCCATTTGGGATGTCTTTATGATTACATGGCACATGTTCGTGCTATCACCTATTATTTCCTAAACACATTTGGCATTCTCAGGATTGAACAAACATACAGGAAACATGGTGCCAACCTTCCAAAGTATCTTACCAGCTGAACCAGACACTATTAATGCTGATGTAGAGCTTGGAATTCAACGAGATGAAACATGGGCTGCACCTAGCCAGGAGAGCTGATCAAGACGGGCACAGAGACAGGACTTACTGGGAAACCCAGACAGAGGAATGACTAGTTACTTCAGCCTTATCTAGGTTACTTTACTAGGCCAGCCACACTAGCATCTAAGTGCCTGAGAAAGACACCAAAGCAGTTATCGGATTTTTTCGGGCACTGGGCACCAAGAGGACTTTTAAGAGCAATTTGGAGGATAAAAGGTCTTTGGGCGTGGAGTGTTAGATAGGGAAGGAATGTCAAGTAAATGGGGAAGAGGACCGTGGCAGACCTCATCCACCTACAGTGTCAGAGGGTTTCTAGGATGTAGTGCAGCATCCAGCATACTCTTGCTTCCCATTCTTTAATCGCCACCTCACAAACAGTGAATATAAAAGTCCTGATTCTGAGCCTTTTGGAATGCAGGTCCACATTTAATGGCCTAAGTTATATCTGAATTAAGGGAAATGCCTTGGGAAAGGCAAATTTTCCTGGAGGTGCACAGTTCAAGCTTCTAACAGGGAGGTAGGTGGTACTGATCACACGAGGCAAACTGCTTGCCTAGATAGACTTTGTGTTAGTGACCAGAGCTACAATAGAACAAAAGTTGCAAGACCGGAGGGTCATCCAATATGCAGTAAAAAGATACTCTGAACAGAAGGTCATCTTAGTACAAATGTTTTTCTTGTAACCATGACTTACAGAATTAGTCCATAGGAGATCTAGTGTGCAGAGTGCATTGGTTTATATTTAAAAGAAATGTGTGCTCCTCACCTAACCACTGCTATATGTATAT